GCTGGCATGCAGTAGGTGTAACCAGTAACCAGATAACCAAGGGTTATCTGTGCTGCCTGTCACCACTTGAGCCAATTAAGCAGAGACAGGGTTGAATCATATATGAGAGTTTATTCTAATAATGCGGGCAGTATGGGAGAGGAGCAGGTCATCCACAAAAATCTGCTCTGACTCCCCTTGCCAGTTGTCTGGTTATATACACAAGAGGGAGAAGATAATTACATGCAGCTGCAAGCTACAAGTGTAACATGGAAAGGGGAGGGTAGAGTCTGCAGCCCGGCCTTCAGGAGCTCAAAGTCCGATAACCAGGTGGCTAATCTTCTATGATGTTACAAACAGCTCAGGCCATTCCTGGGACTGGAGTATGGTCAGCGTTCCTGAGAAAAACTCCCAGAGAGGGTCAGGGTCCAGGTGCAGCAACCAAATCAAAGCGTTCCCTGTCCTTGGTCTGTTCTCAAAATGTATTTCTTGACTTAGCTGGTTTGGCTCAGGTATTTTTTTTAAAAAGTATTTTTTTTCTGAGTAATGGACCCATTGAGGCATCTTATCTTTTTACAGTCTTGTTTCATCCTCCAGTTTCCCAGGGTCTATAAGAAAACGTTTTATCCATAGTTAGTGAGGTGAATAATTATTAGACAACTGTGGCTCTATTCTCATTACATGTCCTTCCCCACTCTCATAGACACTATGAATTTTGATGGCTACATTAACGATTGGGTTCTTATAACAGCACACACTTTTAAAAATAGTGTTTGTATTTATAATTCTTTGTTGTTGTTGGTAAGTAAGCTTCAATGGGGCAGGGACCCGTGGGTCATTTATACCATTGTTCTTCTAGCCCCAAACACAATGCCTGCATTAAATAAGCTCAGAATGAGTGTCACACTCAAAGTCAGATAGGTGATTTAAGTGGTGGGCTGGGGATGGATGGGGTGTAATGTTGAGTGACCTTGAGGTTTGCATGGTGCTTGGTTAGGTGCACGTGGTAGGGAATAGAGTTTTGCTCTTTTTTACTGAAGACAAGTGGTTGTCTTTGTTTTTTACGGCCTGAGTGTTTAGGAGCCACAAGAATTTGCCAGATTTGACAGGTTTTGCCCTACACAATGATCTTTTCATTTGGTGCCACCTAATATTTTGTGTGAATACACACACACAGGCAAATGCATTTTAAAATAGGATTAAAATGAGTGGACCCTGAGGCTGGAGGGTGGAGCCTGGGATGCTCTCAGCACCTTGGCAAGTCTCTGTGCTGAGGAGAGCTGCAGAGTCTACTCACTTTGTTTAGTTTGTTTGGACATCTCTATATGGATGCACTCACAGATCTCTTGTTCTTTTTCAGGGTATATATATATATATATATATATATATATATATATATATATATCCCATTTTATGGATATAATCTTTTAAATTCAATCTTCAGTCAACTTTTGTCTGGTCAGTTGTTTATGATGATTTATTTAGTTGGAATATATGCCATATGGAACTTTAATCTTGTGTGTAATTATCAACTATGCATTCTCTCTCTTTTGTTATAAACATTTTACAGGAACTCTTTCTATATGAACAAATTACTTTATCTCCTCATCTACTAAGTCAACATCAGCACTGTACACTGCCTGCTTCTCAGCATGCTGTGTGGAACACAGCATGATGATAATATGGAGCTCCGAGAGCTGTTATACTAGTATGCTGAGGGGATGGGTTGGTGCTTTTGATTTGGGTTGTTTTCCTGAGCAGGATGCAAGGGTGATTTCTTTCCCAGGTCCTTGTCTAGGTGGATTTGAAGAATTAAGCCATGGACAAAAGGTGGTAGATGAAAGGGTGGAAATTTATTCGAAGCAAATACAGACTCCCATGTAGGGAGGGGGTCCCAAGAGGGTAACCCACTAAGCTCTTCTTTGCTAAGGTTTATAAAGGCTGCAGTTCTTTGTCTCTTGATGCTGCCTTCCAATTGGTCACTCTTTTTGTAGCTTCAAAGCCCAAACCCCACGTAGTGCCCCTCCCCCCTTTCTCTCCCCCTTATCTTGTAACATTTCTCTATCTCCTGTGAAGGGATGTCTTCCTCTTTCTCTCATACCCTGTGGCTTTTCCTTATCTTCTGTGAATGGATGTCTTCCTCTCCCCTTATGCTTTTTTTTCCCTCTCTGTGAATGTGTGCCTTCTGGAGGCTTCAAGCCCTCATATGCATTCCTCCCCCATGGACCCTCTTTTTTCCTAAACTCCCTAAACCTGCCTATTTTTATCCCTAAAACTCCTTTCACTTTTGTTGTTAGAAGGAATAGTTGTTGTAGTTGCCCTATTAGTGTAATAATAAAATGGATTTCCTGAAAACTTCTAGGTATGATGCTTTATTAGCTAAGTTTATTCTTGTAAGAAACTCACTAATATAAGTATTTACTTAAATAGTATTCATAATCAGACGGCCCTCCTTGCTTGCTCAGTGAGGTCTTAGGATCATGAGCTGGGTGGAAGAGTGGGCCCTGAGGCTGGAGGGTGGAGCCTGGGATGCCCTCAGCATCTTGGCAAGTTTCTACTAAGGAAAGCTCCAGAGTCCACTCACTGGGCTGCTGCTTAATTTCTGTGCAAGGAGGTAAGTGGCCATCCAAGGCCAGCTGGTGGGATGGCGAGGGGAGCCCATTGTGGGGCTGAAGTGCCTCAGAGCCAGGGCTCAGGACAGCATTCTTGATTCCTTCAGGAGGATCCCAGAGGGGTATCCCTACAGGGACCCAGCACCTACCCTGTATGTCTGTGTGTCCCCTTCCAGTCTGCTGCCTTGGACACGTGTGAGCCGGAATCCAGTCAAGTCTCCAGCTGCCTGTGCCATGGATCCCAAGGTCAGATGCTTCTGGAGGAGGGATTTGGGGAGCAAGGGCAGCTGAGACCAGCTTGTTCCTTATGCTTAAGACCAGCCCAGCCTGTGTGACAGCCCTGTAGGAGGGCCTCACATTTCCAGCTGACTGGGGTGTGTTAAAGTAAAAAACCATTGAAACCTGTAAAGAATTTTTGTGAGTTTATTTGAGCCCAACTGTTGACATATGCCAGGAAGCAGAACCTCAACGAATTTTGATAATGCTCCAGAGAATGGCAGGTTACATCTGTATTTATACATTGCAATCAAAGGAAAGTGATGTAGATGGGTTACATGAAATTCATTGGTGATAGATTAAGGAGGTGGGATAAACCAAAGTGGGGAAACCTCAGGGATAGGGTAAAAAGTGAAATGATGGACATGTACTTCTTTTACATAGATGGGTACAGGATAGTTTTACATAATTAACAGTTGACAATTAACTTGATAACAGTAACAATGCAGGAATGTCCTGGTGCCATTTGTTGTGCCCGAGGAGTCCAGAAAAAAGGGAAGTTACAAGTTACCCAGACATTTCACAGGTATGTTATCTTAGAGGCAAAAAGACAATGGACTCAGTAAAGATCTAAGTTGATCTTTGTCAGGGAAAATACTGGCCTAGGACATGACTACCCACCATAACCTGTTTGTAGTTAAATATTTAATTTTCAGACCATCTTTTGTGGTTATTTTAGGTCTTTGAGTTTGTACAACCACCATGCAGGCCTTCCCTGAACTAGTCAGCTTAGTATATGGCCCCTTTCATCCACAGGTGCCGTAAACAGAGGAGAGAAAGCCCCTCTCACCTCTGTCCTCTCCTGCTTTCCTCCTTTTCCCTTCTGCTCTTCAGCCCTCCTCCTGTACCTTCTGTCTGGCTTCAAGGAAGCTTTCCTTTTTATTTTTCTTTAATTTTAAAATTTTGATTGATTGATTGATTGACTTTATAGAGAGGGAGAGAGATGAAGGGGGAAAAGAGAGAGAGAAACATCGATTTGTTGTTCCACTTATTTATGCATTCTTGGTTGCTTATTGTATGTGCCCTATCTGGGGATTGAACCCAGAACCATGGTGAATCAGGATGACGCTTAACCAACTGAGCTACTTGGCCAGGGTCAAGGAGGCTTTCTGATTTGAGACCATTTAAAAGCTATAGAGTGCCTTGCCAGTGTGGCTCACTGGTTGAGCATTGACCTATGAACCAGATGTATAGGTTCAATTCCTGGTCAGGGCACATACCTGGATCGACCGATTGATGTTTCTCTCACATAAATGTTTCTCTCTCACTTGCTCCCTCTCCTCCTTCCTCTGTCTATATATGGTATAGAGTTTTGGGGACATATGTAATATTTTGAACATTAAATATAAATTTTAAAAAATAAATCATATAAAAATACACAGACATACACACACACACACAGAATAAAAGCTATAGAGTTTAGAGTTCTTGGAAGAGACCAGGGGTCGTATAGGCTATTCCCCCTGCCTTTAATAGGATGGTACTTAAACTGTGCCTTGTCTATACTTTTGAATGAGCTTAGAAGAGAAAAATCACGGCATATCCAATCAATTGTTCTCTATTCATCTACTTACTATAAGTCTTTCTATTTCCTTTCTTTGCCAAATTCTATAATGTTTTCAAGGCCACCAGCACCAGGGCTGGCCGGTGTGCACACCCCAGCCTTCTGCTGCTCCCACTGCCCACTGAGGAAGGGATTTGTAAAAAGGTTTGTGGTTAATGAACTCAGTGGTCCACACGTTCTGAACCCGAGCAGCACCTGGCACCCAGCACCTGCTCCCACTGCCCACTGAGGAAGGGATTTGTAAAAAGGTTTGTGGTTAATGAACTCAGTGGCCCACAGGTTCTGAACCCGAGCAGCACCTGGCACCCAGGTTTGCAGTAAGTACTGTTGAATAGCCTTCTAAAGCATGGGAACTGCTTGGTAGCTGGAGGGCCAGAGACATCCCAAGCTTAGCAGAGACATTAGTTGCTTGAACAAAAGAGAGCTCTCTGTGCAGGAAAAGGCCTATTCAAAGACCAAAACACTTCTATTCTGGTCCTTTAAACCTACCCATTGTTGCCTCTTACAGCTTGCAACTCTGTCCCCTCTTCCGTATTTTTGAGCTGTCTTTGGGTTAGAACCACACTGCCTCCTTATGCTCGAGTAGCTCATCAACTTTAGGAGTGCTGTCTCCCACAGCATCCTATTTCTCCTGACATCCCTTCAGTTTAGGAAGGTGGATATAATTACTCTCAAATTATTTCTCATGTTCTTTTTTCCCCCTCCAAGGTGAGAAACAGACACAAGTGCCCAGTGTCCCACAGAATCAGGGTTCACAGCGAAACAGAGAGCAATTTCTGCTGATATGTCAGGGTTTGTTTGGCCTCTTCCCCCGCCATCAGAATTCTATTTCTGTTATAGATTTTTCTTACTTTTTCCTTCAATTATTTTGTCTCAGTGTTTTTAAAGTGTGGTAAAATGTTAAAGATTGTGGTAAAACATACGTACTATAAAATTTATCATTTTAACCATTTTAAGTGTCTGTTTAGTGGCATTAAGTACATTCATTTTGCTGTGCCACCATTACCACCACCATCCACAGAAGTTTCATCTTCTCCAATTGAAACTCTGTCCCCATTAAACAGTCACTTCCCATCACCCCAGCCCCACTCTCCTTTCTGTTTCTCTGAATTAGACGAATTCTAGTACCTCAAAGAAGTAAAGTCACATAGTATTTGTCCTTTGGTGTCTGGATTATTTCAGTTACCATAATGTCTTGGGTTTGTATTTTTATTTTTTTACTACTTGTGTGGTTCATCCATCTTTTAGCATTCTTCTTTGATTTTTATAGAAAGTAAGTAAGATTGGTTTTGTGGGATTTTTTATTTTTTTCTGTTTATTTGCTGCTCTTTTCACCAGGTTTGGGAACCAGGATTATGCAAATTTATCAAACACATTGGATAGCTTTCCATCTTTTTCTCTGCACATAACTGATTTTATAGCATGCCTCCTTTAGATGAAGTTTGTAGTATTTCCAGCAAGACTTCTAAGTTTTGACCATTTCTCCTAAAAAATTTTTTCCTATGACCTAAAGGATTATCAAATCTTTTATCTTTTTGAGATACCCATTTTAACTTTCATTACTGGAAGGATCAAAAAAGGTCATACTATCACCAGCTCTTATTTGTTCTTAGAGTTCAATACTGTCAGTCTTCTGAGCCTACTGCCTATTCTGTGGAACAGTCCCGCCTATTTATTAGAATGGAGTCTGTTCATGCTGCTCCCAGCCAGCCTGGTGCTCAACATTTGGCTGCATGGGTCACTCTTGGCTTCTAGACATCCTTTCCTTCCCCTCCCTGTCAATTCTATTCTTTTAATTTTCCATGGCAAAGGCCAAGATTACTGAAGTTATATTTGATAAGCTGATCTGGCATAGTGGGTAGCAACAACTGCTCTGCATCCAGACTTTGGACACCTATTTATCAACCTCTAGATCGAAAGGAAGTCCTCGGGCAAAAACTGCCTGTATTAGTTTTCTGGGGCTTTTGAAACAAAATACCACAAGCTGAGTGTTTTCTCTCACAGTTCAGGAGGCTAGAAGTCTGAAATCAAGGTGTCAGCAACGTTGGTTCCTTGTGGGGCTCTGATGCAGAATCTGTCCCATGACTATTTCCCTGCTTCTGGTGGCTACCAGCAGTGCTTGATGCTCCTTGGTTGTTAAGCACATCACTCCACTTTCAGTCTGTCTTCACATGCCATTGTCCCTGTGTGTCTCTATACAAAACTCTGTCTCCTTCTCTCATAAAGACATCAGTCATTGGATTAGGGCCTGTCCTAATCCAGGATGATCTGATGTTAACTTGATTTCCAAATAAGGTCACATTCACAGGTACTTGTGCTTAGCACTTAAACGTTTCCTTTTGGGGAGCACAGTTCACCCCACAAAACTGCCTCAGTCTTCTCGGTAACCAAGATATCACCATGAGGTGGGAATGAAGCCTGTCCTTGACTTTCTAAGCTCCTCCTGGCCTCACTACAATCATTGACAGTAGAGCTTTTTTAAAAATATATTTTTATTGATTTTAGAGAGGAAAGGAGAGGGAAGGAGAGATAGAAACATTAATGATGAGAGAGAATCACTGATTGGCTGCCTCCTGCGTGCACCCCACTGGGGACCAAGCTGCGACCATATGTGCCCTTGACTGGAATCGAACCCAGGACACTTCAGCCCGCAGGCTGATGTTCTATCCATTGAGCCAAACCAGCCAGGGCAAGGTTTTTTTGTTGTTGTTTTTTAAATCCTGACCTGAGGATATTTTTTCCATTGATTTCCAGACAGAGTGGAAGGGAGGGAGGGAAGAGAGAGAGAGAGAGAGAGAGAGAGAGAGAGAAAGAGAAACACTGACATGAGAGAGACACATGGTCTGGCTGCCTTCCACACAGCTGGGAATCAAACCTGCAATCTAACCTGCAACCATGATAATCAAACCGTGGGCTGACACTTTAACCACTGAGCCAAACTGGCCAGGGCTTGACAGTAGAGCTTTTGTATAACATAATCACCCCCCTTTTTAAAGATATCTTTATTGATTTCAGAGCGGAAGGGAGAGGGAGAGAGGGATAGAAACATCAATGGTGAGAGAGAATCATTGGGCAGCTGTCTCCTGCATGTCCCCTACTGGGGATCGAGCTCACAATCCGGACCATGTGCCCTGACCTGAATCAAACTGTGACCTCCTGGTTCATAGGTCAACATTCAACCACTGAGCCATGCCAGCTGGGCTCCCCATTTTTTTAGAATAGTTTTGGAGAACTAAAGGCTGAATAACAATATATAAGCATTTTATTGAAAACTATTTGCCTCCTAAAAACTGTCCTTTAAATGTTTTCTGAATTTTCTAATGAAAAATATTAAGGACTGCCCTGGTTGGTGTGGCTCAGTTGGTTGAGCATTGTCCCATGCACCAAAAGGTCACAGGTTCCATTCCTGGTCAGAGCACATGCTCAGGTTGAGGGCTTGATCCCCAGTAGGGGGCGTGCAGGAGGCAGCTGATCAATGTTTCTCTCTTACATTTATTTTTTTTCTCTCTCCTCCTTTTCTCTCTAAAAATCAATAAGAACATATTTTTTAAAAAAGAAAACTACTAAGGACTTAGAAGATAGAAATAAATTTTACCTGCACCTTCATTTTCTACTGACCTCATACCTTCCAGCATGTTAGTTTTGCATTTATCTGGGCAGATCTTTGGATCCCTGGCCTTCCAGATTATTCCCTCTTTCATCCTAGATCTTTGATTTTTCTGAGCACACCTGACTGCTGAGCCCACAAGAGCTCACCTGTGTTTGTCAAGAGCACTGCCCCAAATGCAGTCAGCACACCAGAAATATCCACGCTGTCTCCCATAGCACAGAGGCTGAACTGAGCTACTGCTGTAGTACTGTTCATGGATGGAGAGCTGCTGGGCCACCATCACCAGCCCCTCTGGGTTGGAGCAGGAGCTGTGTTCTCTGTGGGTTTTGGTTAAGAGGCACATCCCTCCAAGCCTGCTCAAGGGGAGAGGGTATCTGGTAACTACTACCAGTATTTATTGAAAATCTGCTGTTTGCACAATACCATACTGGGCCCATAAAGGACATTATGGAGAAGAATGAGTGTCTAACTGCTGGATGCATGCCATTAAGGCTGGGCTCAGTTTGGTAAAAGACACATGGGGCTTGGCAAAAGCAAGGATGTTTTCTACATGATGATATTTACTTGACTTCCTAAAACAGCCTTTGGGCTTCCTATCCCAAAAGCAAGCTTGCCCAAGCTAGATAATGTCAGGAAGTCAGCTAAATGGTAGATAACCAACTTGTGCAGAATTGGAGCTTTCTCTTTGGCATCTACACACAGGTGTTGCAGACTTGGTCTCTGCCCACTGAGATCTCTTGTGGGACTATTGTGCCCACAGGGTTATTCATGTTTCTTGGGCTAGTGAGGCTGTTTGGGGCCCCACTGTACCCAGAGCCCTTCTGCCAGCTCAGCCTTCCTGACCCCCTTTCATCTTAGGGCAGCAATGGTTCAGGACTCCAGGATGAGCGTATTACAGACTTGCTGGTGTTTGGCTTCCTTCAAAACTGCTCCAACTACAATTTCCACAAAGAGCTGCAGGTGTTGGGCCATGACCTATCTGTGCCAGCTTGTCTATGGGAAAACCATGACGATGAACTGCAGACCGATGGCAACCAGTACAGCCACTTTGTCCTGGAGAGCCGGGAGACAGGTAAGCATCTGGCCCAGTCTTCTCTGCCTTTCTGTCACCAGTGGCATTTAGGGAACCAGAATACTAGACCTTTGGGTTCAGCTCCACCTGTGTGGTGTTAGTCCACCATTGATGTTTGTGTCACGTGATTGTTGGGTCTGTACTTGGTTTCTCAAGTGGAGCAAGCCTAGCTGAGTTTCCAATTAATTGAAAACCCGCTCAGTTTCTTTATAATGACTATATCTGTATAGCACCTTACATTTTTATATATATTATGGGGCATTGAAGTTTTCTGAATCTCATTTCCAAATGAGGAAACTGAGGCCCAGAAAAGTGTAAATACAAGCCCCAAATGACGGGCCAGGCCTCTTTCCTTGAGCTGGGCCCCATCCTCCTATGGTTGCTCCTGCCTCTGAGTACATTACAGTTTCCAGACTTCCTTCACCTTTCCTCACCCACATCCTTGTGCTGTCTTCCAACTTCAGTTTTTACTCTTGCTAACTGCTGATGCTGCCTCCACTGATGGAGACTATCCCAAGCTGATGGCTGAGGGAGCAAGGCTGGGGAGCATGTTGAGCGCTTAGCCATTCCCAGATTAGGGAACAGTGGCCCTCAGTAGTGTGCACATTGGAATTCCAAGAGAAAGTTTTTCAAAATGCCTGGTCCCTGGCCCCTACTCCAGCTGCCTGAACCAGTGTGTTCTAGGGTGGGAGACTCTGGTGTAGTCCCTGGTTAGATTTACTGCCTTAAAAGCCAAAGGTGACTCTAAGGACCTAGACCCCAAGCCTCCCTACTTAGGAGCAGGACTGAAATCCTGCCATCCTTACATCTCTGGGTTTTTGCACTGCCCTCTGGTGGCCTTGAGGGAGACCAGCAGCCCATCCAACCTTGGGATCCCTAGCTCTGTCTCAAAGCTGGTGGATAGCGGTATGTAGTAAGAGTTCCCCACTAGCCAAGGTGTGCTAGACGTTAGCTGCCTTAGAATCCAGCTAGCATGTCTTCTGGCCCTAAACTGGAATAAGAGCACCTGGACCCTTTGGGGAAGGTTTAGGAAGGGAGGGGCAGGAATGGCTTTGCTGGCAGAAACTGCTAGTAGGAGTAAGTACTTGCTAGAGGCTGTCCCCTGGGCTCTCCTCTGTTCTTCTGTACCATCCCTTACTTGTAGACTGGAAAGCCTGGCTTGACTCAAATGGCATTTTCAAAACTGATTATGGGGCTGTACACTTAACCTCTCCCTCTGGTAGAAAACTCTCTGCATGTAGATTAAGAACCTGACAAGATTTGGAAGAAAAGGGCAGAATAGAGGCTCTGGCCACTAGAAATTTCATGGTGAATTTATTCACTCAGCTGCACACAGATGAATCAGCCATGACTCCTGAAGTTGCTGAAACGGGGAACACCTAGGGAAATTAGTGAGGCAGAGTCAGTGCTGTGGGGGCTACAGAGAAGGTGGTGAGTACTCCGTTCTCTGTGGGAAATCAGGAGAAATTTCATGGCTGCAGTGGAATTGAGCTGAGCTGTGAAGCTGTGTAGTTTTGCTCTGGAGATTGGGAAGAGGGAATGGCAATAGCTTAAGCAAAACCTTGAAGATCAAAAGGCCAGGGCTTGGGAAAGGTCCTGTGAATAGTTGAGTTTAGCTAGAGCAGTGGTCAGAAAACTGCAGCTCACGAGCCACAGTTTGCCGACCACTGAGCTAGAGCATTTGAAGGGAATAATTGAAGTTCAGGATGATTTAAGGCTGGATGGTAACTTGTCACTTAAGCAGAGTTGAGCATGTGGCAAGTTCTGAGTAAGAAAGTGATGTCGTATTGATACTACATGTGTCACAGTCAATGCCACAGTGAGGCAAATGAAACACCCAGGGCACAAAATGTAAGGAGGCACTCACTCCTCTTAATGCCCTCTCATCTTCACCTCTAGGTGCCTTGCTGGCCCAAGTACACTGTGGAGAGTGGACTGGAGGACAGTGAAAATGGAGTGAGGAGAGACTGTAATAGATGATTAGCACAATTTTAAAACATAAAGAGGCCATCAGGAGTGCTGATGTTGCTAAGGGTGTGAAAATGCTAAGGAAACATCGATCACAGGCAATTGAGTAGGTTAAAAAAGGGAATGATTTGGGGATTTGGAATGGATTAATTCAATTTACATTATTTCTAATGGGGGAAAATGATGTTTTTGAACAAATTGCTTTTTGAACAGCCTTCTGGAACGAATTAAGTTCAAGAAGTGAAGTTTCACTGTATAAGATTTAATGGGAGAAATAATAATAGTTGGCATTTATTGAAAATTTACTAGGAGCTAGGTACAGGGTTCATTCATTTACTCATTCATTCATTCATAAAATTGTTTACTTAGCATCTTCTGTGTGCCTTGCATTGTTCTCAGTACTGCATATTTGGCAATAAACAAAACATTAAAAAGTCAGAGCCCTGAGAGAACCAAAATGGCGGCATAGGTAAATGTTGGTACTCTCTGCCTCCTACAACCACATCAGAATTACAACTAAAATACAGAGCAACCATCATACAAAACCACCTGACAGCTGGCTGAATGGAAGTTCTCCAGCTAGAAAAGTAAAGAAGAAAGCACATTGAGACTGGTAGGAGGGGCAGAGGTGCAGAAAGGGCTGGAACAGTACCCATGTGGGCCGTTTTTTGTTTGTTTTTGTCAGATTAGAGATCGTTGCCAAACCGGTTTGGCTCAGTGGATAGAGCATCGGCCTGTGGACTGAAAGGTCCCAGGTTCGATTCCAGTCAGGGACATGTGCCTTGGTTACGGGCACATCCCCTGTGGGAGGTGTGCAGGAGGCAGCTGGTTGATGTTTCTCTCTCATCTATGTTTCTGACTCTCTATCCCTCTCCCTTCCTCTCTGTAAAAAATCAATAAAATATATTTACAAAAAAAAAAAAGAGATCGTCCCTGTGGAGAAGCAAGGGGTCCCAGCCCCACACTAGACCCCCAGGGTTCCAGAGCTGGGACTAGAAGTCCCCATAACTACAGCTGTAGAAAAAAGCAGGGACTGGGGCTCAGTGACACAGAGGCTGCTGGAAACCCAGATGTTCCTTTTAAAGGGCTGGCGCATGAACTGAACTTACAAAGTCCTGCTTCCTCTGAGCTCCAGTGCCAGGATGAGGCTCTGGGGGACCCAAACACATAGGAGGAGGAACTGGATTGTCTGGCATCAGGGCAGGAACTCAGAAGCAGCTTTTTCCCAAACAGAGGTGCTTGCAGCGGTCATTGTCTCTGTGCTGGGACCTCCCCCATCACAGAGCTGACTGGCAGCTATATCTGAGCTTCCATAAGCATGTCCCACACTGTCCCCTCTGCACTGGTGATTCCTTGAGACCCCACCTTATCCAATTTGCAGCCCTACCCAAGCTCTTTGCAGTGGCTTTTGCATATGAATGGCCTGTCAGGCTTCAGACTTTGCTAAAGTCTCTCAAACATGCTACAGCTGGAGCAACATGCCCCAAACCTATCAATAAAGGGTCTAAGACCCTACACTAACTCAAGCCTGCCTTGCTTCACAGCTGGGTCTCCCCTGGGCACCTCCAGGCCCAAAACAAATAGCTCCTGCAGGGTGACCCCAGGCAGTGGCTGACTTTGCACTGGTTCTAGAGCCTTCACCTAGTGGACAGCTTCAGACCATAGCAGACCTCAACTCTACATGTCCACAAGCAACACACTCAAGGGGCAGATTCAGTGAGCACCAAAGCCCCACTGAACCAAGTCCTGCTCCATAGGAGTATTTCCTGCACAGCAGCTTTCCCACTGTAGTCACAGCTGGTCCTTACAGCCAACTGGACTGGAGGTCAGTTCCTCCCAGTGACACCAACAGAAATCAAGACTCAACTACAACAAGATTGTGCACAGAGCCCACACAGGGGAACACCCAGAGTGCCCAGCTCAGGTGATTGGGGAGGCAGAGCCACTGGGCCCTACAGGACTCCTGCTACACAAGCCACTCTACCAACTCCAGGAGACATATCAGCTGTATGTAATACATAGAAACAAACACAGAGGAACAGCCAAAATGAGGAGACAAAGAAACATGTCACACTAAAACAAATGGAAGAAAGCAAAATTTTGGATATGGGTTCAAATCCATGGTTATAAGGTTACTCAAGGATCTTCATGAGACGTTCAAGGATCTTAGTGAGAAAGTCAAGACATGAAAAAGGACCAGTCAGAAATTAAGTATACATTAACTGAAATAAAGAATAATATACAGGGATTCGACAGTAGAGGAGTCTGAGGATCAAATCAACAATATGGAATATGAGGAAGCATAAAACATCCAATCAGAAGAGCAAAAAGAAAAAAGAATCCAAAAATATGAAGCTAGTGTAAGGAGCCTCTGGGACAACTTCAAGTGTACCAACATTCTTTTTTTTAAAAAAATATATTTCATTGAGTTCAAAGAGGAAGGGAGAGGGAGAGAGATAGAAACATCAATGATGAAAGGGAATCATTGATTGGCTGCCCCCTGCACGCCCCCCTACTGGGGATTGAGCCCACAACCCAAGTATGTTCCCTTGACCAGAATTGAACCTGGGACCCTTCAGTCCGCAGGCCGACGCTCTATCCACTGAGCTAAACCAGGTAGGGCTGTACCAACATTCTCATCATGGGGGTGCCAGAAGTAACAGAGAGAGCAAGATATTTAAAACCTATTTGAAGAAGTAATGATAGAGAACTTCCCCTACCTGGTGAAAGAAATGAACTTACAAGTCCAGGAAACACAGAGAGTCTCAAACAAGAGGAAGTCAAGACACACCAAGACACATCAAATTAAAATGCCAAGGGCAAAAGATAAAGAATCTTAAAAGCAGCAAGAGAAAAGCAGTTAGTTACTTACAAGGGAGCGTTCATATGACTGTCAGCTGATTTCTCAACAGAAACTTTGCAGGCCAGAAGGGAGTGGCAAGAAATATGCAAAGTGATGAATAATAAGGGACTAGAGTAGAACCAAGAATAGTCTACCCAACAAAGGTCAGATAAAGAGCATCACAAACAAGAAAAATCTACAGGAGTTCATCACCACCAAACTAGCATTACCTGAAATGTGAAGGGTATTGTTTATGAAGAAGAGATAAAAAATATGAACAATAAAATGGCAACAAATACATATATATCAACAATTGAATCTAAAAATCAAAATAAACAAGCAAGAAATCTTATGAATGAAATAAATTGGTTACTAAAATAGAACCAGAGGCATGGAAGCATGGAACAGAGAAAAAAAAATTAGAAAAAAATCAGAGCCATTGTGAAATTTACATTCTGAAAGTGAGTCAAAAACTACAGACAGGGAGAAACTAAGATGGCGGCAGAGATAAGAGGCAGGAAGAGATTAACCAAAGATCTTACCCATGGACGCAGAGAGTAGCAGGGTGAAGGCCTGGGGCAGGTTGGGAACCGTGTGGAGGGAGGCCGTGGGGCGGGGGGGAGTCATGGGCAATGAGTTGTTCATAATTGTTTTATTCTTTTAATGTCCAAGGACTCAGTAGTGATAGCCCCTCTTCCATTTTCTATTTTAGTAATTTGTGGTTTCACTATTTTTTAATTATTATTCTTGATTACCTTTGTTGATCAAGTTTACTGACCTTTTCAAAAAACCAGTTTTTGGTTTCACTGATTTTCTCTGTTAATTTCCTGTTTTTAATTTCATTGATTTGTATACTTTTTTCC